TTTATATATATATATATATATATATATATATATATATATATATCAGCTAAAGACAATGTAAGTCTTGTGAAGATGTACAAGCACATCTTGAAGATGTATATATATGTTGACAGCAGGCAATATAAGTTTTGTAAAGACGTGTAAGTCTGTCTTGATAACGTATATATACATACCAATAGCAGGCAATCTAATGTATGTTTCCAAAAAACGTATATGTCCACAGCAAGAGAAATGTTAGGAGATAAATACAGAAAATGTAGTAAATTATAATAACAAATATTAATTCTCTCCAAGTAGCTGAAAATGCTCATTCTCTCCAACTAGCTGAAAATAGGAATTAATTTTCTAGCTGAAAATCCCACCCTATATGTAGGATTTTACATTGTTCTTGCAGGTCTAAATATGACCTATGGAACTATGCATTTATTGACTAATCCTTTCTTTGAAAAATCGTCATTGTAAACTCTTGGGTCATATTCCATGCCTTATTCCAAATGAATCAACTAATAGAAGACTGTGATCATGCTTTTTTTTTTTACCACAGCCAACATACTGATGATGAGTGGTCTATGCTGAGAACATCAGTATTCATAGTTTGGATAAGAATGATCTTGAACAAAATAGCAACACCGTCTACCAAGTATTCCAAGAAATAGGACTCAAACCTTTCCAAAATAGAAACAATGATCTGGAATTGAAATGTAAGCAGTGATGGCACCTGCCCTGAATCCACGACATTTTAAGATGTGGAATTAGTAAATACTAAAGAATTCAAATACCTCTGGATCAGTTATAACAAATTTAGTATAGGATATAAGGAAATTTAATATAGAATAGGCTGTACTAGAGATGGTTTTACCCAACATTACAAATTGCTAAAAAACCAAAACATTAACCTAAAACCTCAAGTCATATTCTTAAATAGCCTCATCAGATTGAGATGGATGTCATGGTGGCAAACCCATTCAGAAATATCTAAACTGTCAGCTGTATACAAGTGCTTTCTTAGATCAATGGTTAGAAATGACTTTGAATAAGCAAAGTCTGTGGATCTTGGCAAAGATCATCTTTCTTTGAATGTTGTGGGCTGGCACGACAAAAACACAAAGAACTGTAGCAGATAAGAGAAACCACTTCAACTTGAGAACTTTCAATAGCAGCAACAACTAAAATGGATTCATACTTTTTCCAAGGCTATTTTCAAGTAAGTGAACATAATGAATCAAACTGGAATTCAAACTGGAGTCTCCAATTTTACATTCTTAGCCACTAACCATTACACCACACACACATCAGTTTTTTTTTGAGGACTTAAAATGTTGTCAAAAAATTGATAGACAATGCTTATCATATATAAGTAGTACAAATATAAATACAATAACAATTTGTTTAAAGTTTTAATTTTCTAGTAACCACAAAGGGTTATGGGTAAAAGTTATAACTTTGATTTCTGGTTAGGACATTTTCAGCTACTGTATATGGTTAAATAAAGAAAATAAAAATTTGGTTTAGCTAAACTGACGGATACAAAGTAAGGGTCCAGTTTAGCATTATACTTACACTGTAAATTGAAACCTCTTCTGTAAAAACTTAAAATAATTTTACAATTTTCAGTAAGATGTTTACTTCATACAGTTCAACAAAAGGATAAAGATTTAAGTTTAGTTAACCTGACAGACACAAAGTGAGTATCCAGTTTTAGCATTATACTTACACTGTAAATCAAGTTCCATTCAAAAATTGATATTTGGTGTCTATTTAGGAAAGCACAGAAAAAAATTGGTGGTCATAGCTGTAGCCATCCTTATGTTATACAATTACAAACAAAAAAAAAACCATTTGGTAAATTTTTTAAACAGGATTGACTAATTGCAAGGTATGAAAAATACTAGGCAATATAAATATCACCATCATCATCATCCTCTTGACTTTTGTAATCGTAGGAGAGAGGGTCTGAATGCAGAAGCCACACTGAATGTCCTCCACAGCGGTCGATCAACAGCAGCCATCAGTAATTCTGGTATTGTCATACCTATCCATTGTTTGATGTTCGACAACCAATTTTTGCATTGGCATCCTCTTTGACATCTGTTTTTCAATGGTGCCTTGCATGATGGTCTTGTACAAGCCGTCGTGCCTTGTAACATGTCCAAACTACACCATTTTTCTCTATTTGACAGTGGCAAGAAAAGGTTCCTGGTGGCCCACAAAACTTTCAACCCTTTTCTGAAGAAACTCATTGGTTTTATGTTCCCAATAGAAGATGCAAAGGAGTTTTTTCATGCATTTGTTCTCAAATGCTTGGATCCTTCTCTCTGCTTCTACCTACAGTGTCTATGTTTCACATCCATATAAGAGAATGGAGACTACCAGTGATTTAAACATATCATCTAACAAACCTTGTGTTCTGAATGGACAATTCTCCAATAAAAAGCCCTACAAAATAGTGTATTTTTGACTTTCATAGAGAGAGTTCAAGTAACTATTTAACAGAAGCCATCTTGTGGAGAACAGCTGCTATATTGTTATAAGAACCATTCTGCTTTGAGAACAACCATTTGTAATTTGTTTTGAGAGAATGCAATTCTGTGAAACAGCCTTACATTCATTAATACAATATTTAATGAGGAGAAGACAACATCAATTAATTCACTATTCATTAGCTATTCACAGAGTCCTTTGAAAATTTAGTTTAAAAAATTTTGGCCTTAAAAAATTAATTATGATTTTAAATTGATTTTCAGCTCTTCACAATGGCTTTCAAGAGTGGAAATTTATTTTTTCCGTCATATAAATGAGTTTTTTTCCCTCCTCTTTGTAAATGTTCGCAGATGTTAGAATACTTGATAAATACCATTAATATCGTAGACTTTTTTTATTTTTATATTTGAAACTGCTTTATGTTCAAATTAAAAGGTAACAATTCTGAAACAGAATTTTTTTTATCATCATATGAGATACCTATTGTGGAGTTAAGCCCTAACCAATTAACTCATATAGTGAATTTCATCATAATAAATGCTCCTTGACTTTGGCCTTATGCCAGATTATGATATACAGAGTAAACCATTTTGACAATTCTATGTTATTGAAAACTTGAAGCTATATTAGATATTAGCTTAAAAGTCACCTTATTGGGCAGTATTTAAGCTAGTGCCTGTGGAGCGCTCTTGACTGACTCATAACAATAGCTAGGGAGGAGTAGATGCAATAAGCAACAATAAACTACAAATGAACCCAAAATTGATTGCTGCATTTAAGTATTGCATTAATATTTAAGCTTACCTTTTAAAAGTTCAATGATAATTCTTCTGCCACCACTTAATTTAAAGACAATTTGATGTACGTAGGTCCTTACTTTTTGTATGAACAATTATTTTTATTTCATGGGTGACTCGCTAGATTTTGCAATTAATTTTGATTATTCCCAAATTTATTTCAAAGTTATGAAAATTGTTAACATACAAAAAAACCTGTCACAAATAAATCACGCAAAAAAAAAAATAAAATAAAAATATCAAATTGATGAAAACAATTACAGTAATGAAAACTCTGGAATCCAAAATAGAATGGTTTTAATTTGTTCATGGAGTCTGCCTCATTCCAAAATGGTATGATATGTTGGGCTATGGCCTTTAGGAGTAAAGTTGAAAAAGTATGACACAGTGACATTTGCATTTATTATATAGATGTGAGTTGTGGTTTCATGAGTTACTTAAGCTGTTTTCTTTCTTTTTTTTTTTGTTATTGTTCTTCAAAGAAATACTTGATAATGACTCTACAGTGATTTCTCTTCTTGTTTATTTGTGAACTGCCATGGCTTCAAAGGAAAGGTAGGAGAGTGGTTTCCCGTTGTCTTCTCCATAGTTTTCAATTCAAAGTTGTCCTAGACTGGTTGTCACCCATTGCTCAACATTCCAATCTAGTGTGCTGTTTCAACCTTGCTGGAGTTAAGAGAAATGCCTTTCTTGGTGAAAACCACCCTTCTTCAAACTTTGTGGACAGTTGTTACAGAATCCCAAACAAAAACTGTACCAAATCACAGAAACATCATTTGAGGACTACCAATAGCAGAAACACCTAAAATGGATAGCACATGTAACTTGAAGAGAAAATAATGATATGATCATGATGCAGATATTTGCAGCTGTTAACTATGCTGACTCTTGTGGTCCTATTAAGGAATGAACTCACCCTCCTTGGCTAACAAATTTCTGAAAATATTAGACTCCCATGCTTCAGCTTTATGGATTTTACCTTTAAGTATTATTTAAGTTTACTGAAATTTCTCCTCAGTGAACATTTTTCTATTTGTTTGGTGAAGTGCTGTTACAGACCCTTTTCATGTAGACCATAATGGCAGTTTATTTATCATGTCTTAATGTTGCAATTTATTTTACTTTTTTTACCCCTCTTTTAAGGAAGAGAGATTCTAAGCTCACATACATGATCCAGAACCTTGTTAGAGGAGACACCTCTCTTAGTCAAGCAATCTGCAACTTGGCTTGATGCCTTCCAAAAGTTAAGCAAAGTATTAAGAAACAGGAAATTTTATTAGAAACAAAAGAGTGCTTAATTTTAAAACTCAAAGAAAATTTAAAAAAAAAAAAATCAGAAAAGAAAAAGAAAAATATGCATGTATCAATGATGTAAATCCAGTTTCAAAGTAGACATCTGTAAACAACAGTTGAGTCCAATAACTGTAAAAAGTCAGGGAATCATTTTACACTCTCTTGATATTATGAACAGGACCCATCCTCCTAAATTGATAAATTATCAATATTTTTTGATTCCAACAAGTGATGGAGGTTGAAGAAGGTCTAATGAATGCTAATCTACAAAAATTATCCCCCACTAAATTTTCTCCATTTTTATGAATGGACCAGTCTATTTAAGTAGTGTCAGATATTTGATGCTATTAATAGTTCTTTAGGAAAGTTTGGTTGGTGTTTGTTGTTTTTCTAACAGTAAATTAAATGTAAATACAAATAAAGACTCACCTTGATGACAGCAACATGCAATAGAGTTTCTCCTTTGGAATTTTTCTTAATTCTTATTGGAGAGGGTGTCATCTTCAAACCAGGAGATCCACTGTTGCAAGGTGAAAATCTGTTTTTTCTTTCTTGCTTTTTACACAACTTAGGCGTGGAAGTTTTTGACATATTTTTTGGAGGAGTATCAAAATTAGAACCTAGTTGATTGGAATTTACTCTGGACATTTTGGAGTCTGCAAATGTTTTGGATGTTAATGCCTTTGCGATAAGCACCTTGGTTGGATTCTCATCAGAATAACTATTTGATAGGGATTTTCTCTTGTTGGTTTTCTTAGAAGCTGGAGGAGGCATTTCCTTTTCACTTTTAGAGAATTCTTGCTGTTTTTCTTTTAAATTTCTTGTTTTTCTCATATTGGATTGAACTTTATCTTCTGACTTTAATTTTTTGGCTTCTCTCATCTGGTCTGAAGGAACAAAAATGATTTCATTTTCTGTTTTCTGTGATTTCCCAGAGTTGAGCTGAGGTTCTTGGCACGAGGAATCTATTTAAGATGAAGAATGTCATATATCAGAACATTTCCAATTCATGCATTCACTTTTTTTTAAATCATTTTACACCAAACAAGGCAATAAAGCCACTAAGATGCAAGGGGTTATTAAGGAGAGAAAATAATAAAAAATAACAGAAGATTAATTAAGATGACAGAAGATAATGATTGGCATTGCATTTAATATTGCAGTGGCGGCAAAGTGACTGAAGCTGAGACGCTCAGTCTGATAACATTACAGAATCTTCAATGAATTTTATCAATAATCTCAAAATACATAGCAGAAGTAATAGACTAGATATGACAACAATATTCAATGTATGGATGAATAGTAAATTGGTAAGAGAGATTTTAGCAAAAAAATTTGTTTAGCTTGTCAGAGTGAACCAACTTTCTGAGCACAAGCATGAGAAGGTAGATATATACCATGATATTAATATATGTTTTTTAAAAATTAACATTTTCAAAATTTTTCACTTTTTTTTTTTTTAATAATTTAGACAAAGAGTGAACAAAACATTAGATTTACAAACTAAATTTAAATGGTCTCTTCATACTCTATCTGATAATATCTTAAAATATTTTTTTTTATTTTTCTAACATCAGACATCAAATATATTAATTTTTAATATATAGTTAGCATTATGAAATGGACAAAGTCTGAAAATTATTTTAAGACATTTTTATGTTTATACATTCTTTTTTACAGATACAAATATTTAAGTAAATGCTCTGTTTATAATAAACAACAACATTTACTGGCCTGAATGTCCAAGAAATTTTTATAGAAAATATGCGTCCTCCAACAGGAATTGAACCTGTATCCTACATGGAACTGTCATGTAGCCTGACGTGCTTTACCAATTTAGCCACAGAGGAGTGTTTCGGTTAGCAATGTCAATTTTAAACTACAATCCTCCATGATTTTCTCTCATACATTCATATCTGCTCGATGCGTATCCAAAATATAAACAAATGATGTCACACATTGTGAAATGGACAAAGTCCAACAATTATTTTAAGACATTTTTTATGTTTATACATTCTTTTTATAGATACAAATATTTATATTCTATTTCTCAGACATTCAGGATGGTAAATGTTGTTAATACTGTTTATTATAAACAGAGCATTTACTTAAATATTTGTATCTATAAAAAAGAATGTATAAACATAGTTAGCATTACATGAATAGGAAACTTATGACAGCCCTTTAAACCAGAGTTTATAATCTTTTTCACTTCACACTCTTTTCAGTTAATGAAATGATTCTTGTCCAAAACACACACTTTTATTTGTTATTTATTTTATATATTTTTTACATCAGAGTCAAGGAAACAGACAAAATTAAATAAGAAAAAATAAAATAATGTGAAGGATTGATTTTTTTTTTTTTTTTGGCATCATTTTTATTCATCCAGCTTCACTCATCTGATTGTCTGGACAGACAAGTAATCGATTTTTATGTTAGCCAAATACACATTATCAGTCAAAACATATGGACATGAGTATGACCCTCAGATTTAGGCCACACCTAGTGACATGTAAATAAACTCATTTCTATACCAACCAAACTGCAACAGATTTATTTTGGAAAAGTGCTTGTCTGTCCATCTTAAGTCTGCAGACTTTTCAAATATAAACTAATCACTGTTTATCAATGAATATATAATAACTGAGTGTTTTGCCAAACTGGGACGATAAATTTCTTTCATTTGTCATTAAAAGAATGCTAGACAAACAAAATGTTGAGAAGACAATATCTCAGCAGTAGGATGAAAGGTGATGCTAATTAGAAATGACCTTTAATTAAATCATAACCTAATCATCGATTTAACCTAAAATTTCTGTGGGTGGGAAAAAAAATAATAGATTGCTCAATATGGTACCATAGCAGTGAAACAAGATCATCTTAAGCCATTGTATAAAACTAATAACATGTAGGCAAAACAAGCACAATTAAAAATGAAAAAACTTTCCAACATTGACACAAATTTTTTTTTTAAAAGAAAAATACTAAAATCCAAACATGTATTAGATTAATAAAAACTGCTAAAAATAGTATTAAGAAACAGGAAAAGTTTTATTAGAATCAAAGAAAAGAGTACTGAACTGCTATGTGATATCAATCCTCTTGCATAGCAGTAAATGTTGGGCAACCTCCCCACACATGAAGAGGAAATGGGAGGTAGCAGAAATATGGTTATACAGAAGGATACTGAGAATTACATGAATGGAGCAAGTAAGCAAAGAGAAAGTCTTAAAGAAAATGATAAGAATACTTATACTCAGAATAAAAAAGAGACGGGTGAAGAAAGGAGGCTTGGAAGACTAAACACTCACAAGGTATATTGAGGTCAAGAGAAATGGGGAAGGTAACAGACCACCTGACGAGCTTGTATGAATGGGTAAAGGAATAGGGTGGGTACATTTGGCAAAGGGAGAAATGATACTAAAAGCCACAAGAGATATGAAATTGTGGAATGCCATGATTCCCCATATATTGAAGGAGCATAGCACATAAAAGAAGAAGAATGTATTGTCAGCAACACAATACTATTGAGAAAAGCCTATATTATGGTTAAAATTCTTGGAGTCTTGGTACCAAAGAGGAAAGCTCATCAGAACAATTAGCATGAAAATATTTATAGAAAAGGCAGAGGGAAGCTATATTATGGCTTAAATTCATAAAGTCTAGGTACCAAAGAGGAAAGCTCATCAGAACAATTAGCATGAAAATACTTATAGAAAAGGTACAGGAAAATTATATTACGGCATTGGAATAGTGACTGAAGCCAAGACGTCATGCCAGGACCAATAATATTGCAGGTTCTTTGTATTTTATCAAGAATCTCTAAATATATAGCAGAAACATCAGACCAGATGTGGTAGCAATATTCCTGCATAGACAAATGGTAGACTTATAAGTGTCTAAGATGGATTTACACACATAAAAAATATATATCAATTTTAAATTCTCAAAGCCATCAGAGTTCAAGTGATCATTTCTGTCTGTTATATAATGAGTTATTATTCATATGTGAACTATTGTCCTCATCTATGTTTCAGCCATTGTCTTCTGGCCTTCATCAGGTGTACGTTCAAGTTATCACACAAATAGTTTAGTAATTTCAGTTTTTCCTTTTTACCTCAAATTTGTGGATGGCAGACTAGAGCAGAGAATGTATTCCAATTGAAGGATTGAAATTTTAATTACATTTTAAAATTTTTTATTGATTTCCCAGTAAAGGAGAAAATATTATTCTTTTTCCATGTGCCATCTCTCTTCAGGATGTGGATAATAATGGCTCTCCACAATTTCCTGTCCTTTGTAACACTTCTTAGTAAAGTTTGTCTTTTTCCTATCTCTTCTAATCCTTGTTTTGCCAACCATTTGCATAAGATTGTTCTTTTATATGCCATGTCCCTTCAGGATTTGGACGATCATGGATCTCCACAATTTTATGTCCTGTATAGCTTTTAGTAAAGTTTGCATTTTTGCTATCTCTTTTTTTTATGATCACCTTCAGGATGTAAGTGATCATGGCTCTCTACAATTGCTTATTCTTTGCAGCTCTTAGTAAAGTTTGTCTTTTCACTCTCTACCCGTAATCCTTACGCTGTCAACCATTTGCGCAAACACGTTAGGTAGGTTATGTGCTTTTTTCCTCTATCCCACTTGCCAACAATGTCATGCAAATGCCAAATTAGTTGAAATGGAAGGAAATTTCATTACTTTGACATGCGTTTGTACTGAAAACTAGGGTAGTTTGGAATGCCTAATGAAATGTGCTTTCTCTTCTGCCAATAAAATCTCTTAATTTTTTTCTTCTATTTTCAGGACATGGGCAATCATAGCGCTCCACAACGTCCTATCCCTTGTAGCTTTTAGCAGCACTTATCCATTTGCCAAGTGTCCCACCCACTCTTCTGCTATCCATTCTATTATAACTCCCTATTGTAAGTTTATTGTTATAACACACACTCATACTTGGTATAACGTAATTCATTAAGGTATTCTCTATGTGTAATGCTTAGGCTATTGCCATAACACCTGTATACTTAATATGAAGACAAACTCCAATACGACTACGACTAAACTTATAGAAAATGGGATGAGCAATTACTGTACAGTACTAGACAAGAACAAGACGAGATATCCCTAGACATGGGCAGTGGAATGAGAACAATTTTCAATAACAAAAGAAAAAATTTATCAACAGGTGAGAAAAAGATAAAAAAAAAATACAAGTAATAAAAAATGTAGCAGGAATTAAGAATGAATTACACAATGAATGCCATAAATGTGAAACATCAAACATGAGAACAGACAGTGACTTAGAACTTAGTTAACAAAGTTACTAGTTAGTTGCAGAAGAAAACAGCAGAAATGATATTGCCTTTGGAAAGTACATTTTCACCAATGTGATAACATTTTGCATCTTAAAGGAAAATGTAGTCAGAGCAAAAGTCAAATTATAGAAAAATGCAGTTGCTACTAAAAAAAAAAAAAAAATATAGTAAAATGCAATCACTACAAAAGTCAAATTACCAGAAAATGCAGCAAAATCAAAGTTTAAAACAGTTTTAAGATGTACTTCTAGTGTAGTATTCATTGGAACAGAAAACTAGATTGACATATAGAATTCAAATTCCAGCTAAGGCCCTTTTGCACAAGAACCTTTGAAAATGGTATGAATCTATCTTTTCTTCCTTCAGTTAGGTGTTAATAGTACAGCCAATTAGGAAGTCTAGCCTTGGGTAGAAACCAGTTTAGGAGAAGGATAACTGAATTCAAAACCAGCCTAGGGGGAATGGGCTCCAACAAGCCACCTTGACCTATACACTCTGCAGCTGCAGTACATATGGTAGCCCTAGAACCATAATGGATTATGAGGCTCATGATGTGACATGATGTAGTGATATTTTATATACGGCTCTGAATTTTTTATAAACCTTTAGAAGAAAAAAGAAATAGTGATGCAATCCTGCCTAAAATATTTACAGTTTTTATTCTTATCAGTGATGCTATTGGTACCATGTAAGCCAGGAGTACCGGTTCCTCCACCAGGCTTTTCTAGTGAGTTTGGTGGTTAGGTATCCAGTAGGATTAGAAACAAAACCTGCCAAAGGGGAGGTGAACCTTCTTGTAGAGTCACTGCCCATCTGGCACATTGTCATAGACTGTGCTCCATGAAGTCAGTGTGGTGATGATTTATCATCAAGGATTCCTAAAGTCAATGACCAGAGCGAAAGGTTTCCCTACCCACCAATGGAATCCACAGCCATGTCCATAACTAAGGTGAACTTTTAGTTTGGAGGACATTAGTTGAGAGTTGACCTGGAGAAGGATAGACTCCATCTAGTTAACTTGCCGAAGACACACTATGCATATATGAATATCTCTGTGGCTTTCAACACAGATATGTGAAAGAAACTGGTCAGGTGCTCAGTTGAGCAGTGACCACACCCAATCATTGGACTGATGTTGATGATGATTCTTCTCAGTGGGAAGAGAACTAAAAGGATCTAATATTAAAATTTGCAACCATACCTGATTCTGGATTGAATAGAATTTCTCTTAGTTGGTTGGAAATGTTGAGTATGTTACATAGTGGTAACTGTATCTGAATATCTTTGACATCAAATGGAAGATGACAAACTGGACAGACCCGAGACACCCGATCAGATGTACATTGACTGAAAAATTAAAGATAAAAATACAAATAAATAATGGAGTTTTGTAACATATACAGTATAAGCACTTACCTGGTTTGGGGAAAGGTAAATACAAGATCTGATTAAAATGTACCAGGATTGGTGCTATAAAATGAAAACTACAACACATATCAAGTTAGCATTTACTGTATAATTGTATTTTAAGATGTATTGAATTTATTAAATAAATTCAGTAAGCATATACTTTCTTTTTACTCAAATTCTAATGAAAAAAAATGGTGGAGAGATATTGTCAATTAATTACTACAATCTACAATACTTCATGAGTGGGTGCTGAATGTAAATTGACTCAACATCTGTTATGAAAATAGTGGCAGAGCCATATCATTATCTGCCAATTAATGTCTTCTTTTTATCAAATAATAGTTTTCCAATAAGCCCTCCAATTCAAACTGTTATTTCTCCGATTTACTTGCCTTCAATATATCCTGTAAGTATTTAGTTTTCCAAGCGTTCCATCTTTGTTGTCTATCTCAAAAATTTCAGCAGTCTCTGATTTTTAGCAGCAGTCTCCTTTTAGTTGCTGTTCTCTTTAAAACTTCCATGTTATTCACATGTTGTGTCCATGGTATTCTCAGAATTTGTCAGTAGAATCATATTTCTGTTGCTTTAAGTCTCTGCTACATCTGTGAGAAGGTTGGACAACAGTCATTGCCATATAGGAAATTAGACATTACATTATAATTCAGCACTCTTTTCTTTGCTTCTAATGTCTTTTTCCGGTTTCTTTAAATAATACCCACTCGCCCTAGTCATATTCGATCAGCCTTGTCTTATACATACTTGTCATACTTGATCAGCCTTGTCTTATACATACTTGATCATATACCTTGTCATATATCTATACTTGTCATATACATACTTGTCATACTCGATCACCCTTGTCATATATCTATACTTGTCATACTCGATCACCCTTGTCATATAAAAAACAATTATTACATAAATGAGGTGAAAAAAAAAAAAAAAAATCACACGAAAAAAGTTTGGAAATTTTAAAATGATTTCATCCTTTATTAAATAAGTATTGAAAAAAAAATGCAAAAACAAAGTTGATTTTTTTGTAGATCTTCATGATCAAGATGTAATTGGCCAAAATATTTTCTAATACAAATTACTTGAATTATTTTTTATTATTTGCAAGTCAACAACTTTTCACACTATCACTTTTCATAAATATTTCTTATTCTGTTGTTTATACAGGGTGTGTAAAGTATATGAGGACATGTGATTATGCACCTGCAGTTATGTGATAATATGCTTTCATATTTTCAGAGTATCAATGGCGAACTATCAGCTATGAGATGAAATGACATACTGTAATTGTTGTAATACATGCATAGCACAGTGATGTTGTGCAGAAAATTGCCAGGTCATTTGTGCACAAAGTTTGGAAGAAATTGGAAGCCTCCAGTGAAGATGTGTCGCTTGTAGTGAAGTGCAAAAAGCATTCACAGCATTCAGGCAGTATCAAGACACCACAATTCGTATAGCAGCTGCAGAACATTATCAATCCAAATCCCAGAACATCCATGATGGTCATTGTCAGAGATCTCCAAGTGTCTGTTGGCAATCGGTACAAATCATACATGAAGAAAATTCATGTTCACACACACAAAGAACAATAGTTGTTCCAAGCAAAATGATTACTGAACAAATTGAGACATCAGAAGAACATGGCATGCTCTAGTTTTGTTTTGCAAATGAAAAAAATTTCAACCAGGATCAAAAGTGAACCAGAGAAATGACAGGCAGTTAGGTGAAGACCCTTCTGGTGTCCCCCACATTATGCACACCAAGTTCTCCGTTTCTGTGATGGTTTTAGAGATGTGAGTAATGAAGGACATGTCATACCACCCCACTTCTTTTAACAAGGTGTTTGGTTGAATGCTGCTGGTGATATAGAGGTGCTAGAAACAGTTGTGAAGTATTGGATAGACCTTGAATGCAATAGAAGGCCGTATGTGTTTCATTAAGACTCTGCACTTGCCCACAAAGCTGTGGTAACCCAAGATTGCATGGTGGTCAATCTGTGCAACTACATCACACCAAACATGTGGCCTAAACTAACTCTTTCTTTCTTTTTATGTGCCATGTCCTTTCAGGACATAAGTGATCATGGCTCTCCACCTCCCTCTATGCCTTGCAGCTCTGAACAAGTTCCTTCCCTCTGCTTCTTCTCCCAGACCACATTCTGTCATCCACTTGCTTAAGTCCGCCAAGTATGTCACGCATTGTTTTCTCTTGTCTCTCTTTCCCTCTATTCGACCTTTGAATATAAGATTCTCCAGGCCCTCCCTTCCTCATTATGTGTCCCAGAAACTTCAGCTGCTTCTTCCTGGTATTAAGAATAAGTCTCTTCTTTGTTTGCAATCTCACATGCTCAGTCCATGATATCCTTACCATCCTTCTGTCGAACCACTCTGTCACCTTGAGTCTCTTCTTCATCTTTGAGGAAATCGCCCAACATTCACTGCCATAAAGGACAGATGTCACATAACAGTTCAGTATAGATAGCCTTCTGTCTTGCACTACATTGCCCAGCTTTTGGAATGTATCCTTGGCCATCCCAATATGCCTACTTACACATCTGCTTGATTCTAGTTTTCCCGACCTTCAGATCGCATTCCGGGCTCAGCCTCTTACTGATGACCATGCACTCTGTCTTCTTGTAGTTTATGCTTAGTCCCTTCTTCTTGCTCTCTATCACTACCTTCTGTAGGAGATTTGTAATTTCATTTCCGTGTCTGCTATCAGTACTGTGTTATCTGCATATCTTATATTGTTAAGATTGTGGCTGCCAATGCTAAATCCTGGTAGGGTTTCCAATTCCAATAAAAGTTGATTTGCTTTCTTTCAACATACCCAAACCTTTTTCGGATATTAGAATTTTCAAGTGAGATCATGCATATCACTTGCAATGGCTAAAGTTCTATGTAAAGACCTTTTTGGACATTTCTTTTCAGCTTTTCTTTTGCAATTGAAGAACTTTCAAAAGCAACCTTTCCATCATGAACCTTCTGGCAGGTGCTACACTCATTTGAACAGAACTTCCAGTCAAATGTACATATGATTGCAAGGTCCAATGATTCTTTCAGACAATTCTTATGATGCTTTGGCTTATGGACTGGCCACTTTCCTTTAACAAGCTCTCCATTCAAAAACTGCTTTGGAATCTTGTTCCTTATGTTTTCTTCATAATCATATTTCCAACTTAATGAATGCATTTTTGGCCTTTCGAATTCTTCTCAACTTCACTGTTTAGTAGGCATGTTCCCGTTAGAGTGCTACCAAGATAAACAAAGCCATCAGCCATGATTATTTTAGTAAAAAATATTTGGCTCTATGTAAGGCATCCCAGACATCAGGAACCTCTTCTCGCCACTGTCAAACAGAGAAAAATGGCATGGTTTGGACACATTACAAGGCATGACAGCCTGTGCAAGACCATCACATGCAAAGGTAGATGTAGGAGAGGACATTAATGCAAAAACTGGTTGGACAATGTCAGACAAGGGACAGGTATGACTGTACCAGGACTGCTGATGACTGGCACTGATAGACCATTGTGGAAAAGAGTTATTATGGCTTCTGCATTTGGATACACCCTACGTTTACAAAAGTCAAGGGAATGATGAATGCTTTTCCAGTGTAGGTTAATACATCACAAAGGTTTTTTTCTTAAACCTATAGCAAGTCCTAAAGCAGTGCAAACACTGGTGAAAGCATCCATTAGGTGCTGTGTATCATCATCACTATGAGCCACTGTCCTTGAATACCATGTGACACTATTTAGCCATGGTAATTGATTAACTAATTAGATAATGGAAAAAGAAGATATTCCAAGATTTCATTTTTACTTTAAGAAAAAAAAAAGAAAAAAAAAGATACTTTTCTCAAGAAACCAGGGATTTGCATCTATGATAAATTCACAAAAGGGCAATGTGGCAAGCTTTTGACAATTGATTAATGATGGCCTTTAAAAGTACTGGTTAAGAAAGCATGAGAACCAGAAAGCTTTGTGATGTGCTTTGACAATTAATTAAGGCCTTTAAAAGTACTGGATAAGAAAATACAAATATTGTTCGAAATTGCAAAGACTTTAAGAGTTGACCAAGCAACAATGCCATGTGTTATTTGTAAGATGAAAAGGGAATTTCATAAACAAAGTTGATAACTCTAAAACTGCATGGATAAGAAATCCTGAAAAGCAGGGATGTCATGCAGTTAATTAATGAAGCAAGCTTAGCCACACCTGCACGACCGAGACGCCATTGGTTGGGTGGTAGCAATGGTGATATGCGGAGGTAAATTGGTAAGAAAGACGGAAAAATTACTAATGTCCACCGAAAGAATTTGGTATGAGGTACCAATGTAAGAAGGAGGGAGTTTAGGAGGATAGCTATCCTGCAACCTCTCCTCACGGACGAAGGGATCCCCCCCCCGGGAAATAGGAAGTAATTAATTTTCCAAAAATGGGAAGTAATCAATTTAGCTAGCCGGACAAAAAAGGGGTCTCTTGTCAAAAATCGGGAATTATCAAGAACCCCAGGCTGCGTCTATCCCAGCATCAGTTTTTGGTCAATGTCCATATCAGTGAGTACCTTCGGGCAGTTTGCCAGTTCCAGTCCAGTTTACTAGCAGGAACCAGAGAGTTGCCTCACAGAAGCTGACCGAGAGATTCCACAACTTTTGGTGTGAAGAATCCGCTCCAAAAGTTTGTAAAAGTATTTTTAATACACCATATGTATATATATTATATATTAATTACTTCAAACGTTATTTTTAGCAGGTACCTGTATTTGAGTATATGGTCAGTTTATTTTAAATTGTGTTTATCTCATCTACCATCCTGCATACTTGAGAAAACTTATTAAAAAATGTATCCTCCAGCAGGACTCAAACTAGTGTTCACTCGTTCAGATTTTCTTGAAAAGTATATCTGCACAGTTTCATATCCGAAACGTAAACAAAGCAATTTCTAAAGAATTAATGGATTTTATTGTTTAATACAACATATTTTTTACAGTATTTACATTAGTCGAACTATTGTCCTCATCTTTGTCGCCATATTTGTCACAATGTTTCGGCTGTTGTACGCTCAGGCCTTCTTCAGGTGGTTGGAATTTTGAACTGAACCCTTTATTTCGATCACTGGGGTAGACTGTTCTAGTTCCACGTGCCATGTTTGATGGATGTCAGTTATCACTTATCTCCTACTAATTTTCCCTCTGAAAGTTCTCCACTGCCTTAACCGGGTATTGAACTCACACTCTTCGGGTCTGTCACTGGATCTAACCAACACCTTTATCCACTGTGCCATGTGTCCTTGAGGACATACATATTTTTTATTACTTAAAATCTTATTAGTGAATACCTCTATTTGAGTAGACACTGTTTATTTTAAACAGTGTTTATTTCATCCACCAGCCAGCACCCTTGAGAGAACTTATTCAAGAAAATGCACCCTCTAGCAGGAGTTGAACCAGTGTCCCCCTTTGTAGGAGAAATCTCTGCCTTACCCAACATGTATTGACTGCTACAAAGAGCTTCATAATCAAGCAAACACTTTCAGGTTTCATATATACATTTAATTCTCAGGGAATAGCTATCCTTATAATTCAAAAATTAATCAAATTAAAAAAAAATAAAAGTAAAAATACACAAATTTTTACCTGCAGACCAAATGCTCACACATTCCAAGTGAACAAAGCCTGGAACTGATTTGCTGGCTACAAAATATCAGAAACAAAACTAAAGAGAATAGTTTTAGTCATTAAATCACTTGAAAAGAAATGATTTGTCTACTACAATTTCAATGATAAAAAATGTGAGTTGAAATATTGACAAAGTGGATAAAAACTTTAGGTCCCAGCAGGTTGATGCTGTTGTGGAATGTGATGGCTAGGACCAGAATGGTCAGTGATTAGCCAGAGTGGGCATGGTATTATGACAATGATGGACTGCTTTTGTCCGAGTTCTGGATGCAAGTCCAAAAAGGCACAAATTCAACAGAGGGCAGACTAAGTCCATCCAGGTTGGGACGTCAAGTCAACATGTGACATGCCTTCATGTAATATCATTCCTCCTGCTGCCTCTTAGAATCCAAGCTGCCACCACTCTCTCCTAATAAAATGAATAAGAAAAAGAAATGGTCCTTTTTGTTGATTCTGTTTTATGTAGCAGAGTGGGAACCAAGAGATAACACAGAATGAAACAATACTGTAATGGATTGGTTTGGTTTGGTTTACGACATATCAACCTCAATGGGTTATTTAATGCCAACAAAATTTTTATTGCTGGTAATATTTTTTTTTTTTAATATATTGCTGATAAGATTTTTTTTCCTTCTAAAAATCTATTTCTGGTAATTCTTTTTTTCAAAAATGTATAGCTGGTAATAATGTATTGCTCGTAATAATTTTCCCCTTCAAAAATCCACTGCTGGTAATAATTTTTTACAAAGTATTTCTGGTATTAAAACTCACCTCCACAGTGGTCTAACCCCAGTTTGGGGGTTGGGGTGAACCACCTGCCCATAGCTGGCACCCCAACAGGCAAAATCACCAAGGGCCAGGGCAGACCTGGGAACCTCAGCAACCAAAACCTCCTGACCAAAGGCACTGCTGCTGAACGCAGTTCATCATCCCACCCAGGACGCAGATTTAGTTTATTGTCATAGCCAGGACGGGCTGCTGGATGTAGTTTATCGTCATACCCAGGACAGCTGTAATGGAGGTGATATCACTGAAGCCCTCTTGAAATAATTCAAAACACTTAAATAAACGAAACAACTGAAGTTAGTTAACTCAGGAAGAATCAACACTTTCATTGCTGCATTAAAACATTGTTGCCTGTCTGTGCTGGCCATTTTTTATTGAAAAATAGGAAATTATCATTTACTGGAAATAAATGACTATAAAGATACTGATGGTTATTTCTCATGGGTTTACAAGTGGGTACTCTGCAGAAAAGCAAAAGAACCCCCAAAAAAAAAAAACAGTAGTATAATAAAAATACATCATGGTCATATTGTATGGTAATGGTAATATTAGTAGTTTCCCTACAAGAAAACATTTGGTATTCATTGACTGAGTAGCCAGTACTGCTTTCTGTTGAAATTTATAAAATCTTTCTCTTAAAACAATTTTTCAGGAAAATAGGTTTTTCAAGTTCAATAACTGTTATCGCTATTTCCAGTATTGACGGGAGTTTCCTTCCTAACATTTTATTTGAAGCTGTGTGAAATGTCAACATCTTGATTATGTCATTATTTCTCTTCAAGTTACATGTGCTATCCATTTTAGTTGTTGCCGTTGTTGGTAGTCTTCGAGTGATATGGCTTCTCTTATTTGGCACATTTCTTTACCTTTGATTTTGTAGTGCCAGTCCAGTGTTCAAAGCCTTTTTTCACCACTTATCTAAGAATGTGGTTGTATACAGCTGATAGTTTAGATATTTCTCAATGTGTTTTGCACCATGCATAGAATCCATATGAAAGTTTTGATCTGACAAAGTTATTTAAGAACTTGCCTCAAGTTTATGCTACTATGTGTCTATGCTGGTTTGGAAAGAACACTAAGAACCAGTTAGTTCATAATTAATTCTAAGGACTGACACTTCAGTGTCTTGAAAATATCAAACCATATAATAATTATCAATGTGTATTTATATATTTCCTGTCCCATCTGTAGTAAAAAGGGAGGTAAATCAACTTAAGTTAGTAAATTTATGAATGATTGATTCTCTTAGTCATTTTAATAATCTATACAAATAAAATATTTATCTGCATTTTGACAAAATTAGTCCTCAAGCAAAATGAACTGTTCAATTAATCAATTTTTTTTTTTGCCCCTACATTTCTTAGACTGTAGTCTTATTAGTTCAAGCCTATTTTTTTAGGCAATCAGATACCTTTGTCTATTCAGTGATCATCTTGCTTCAAGCTGGTCTTGAAATAGAAAGTCATCACCATCTTTGTTGTACTGTTTTTCTTGAAAGATGTTTCAAGTTCACTATTATATTAAACACATAAAATTTTAACATGAAAAGATATTGAGCAAAAATCAATTTATATAATACCAAGAGTAATCAAAAAATCATAGGTAATATTAAACATGTAAAAAAAATATAATGGGAATGGATTAACTAAAAGGTTCATTGGCCTCTATTTTAGTTGTGAATTTTATGGTTAGTTCACCGTGTTCAATGAGTTAAAAAAAAAAAAACAGCTTGAACTCAGTAACGGGACGATACCAATATTTTTACAGATTCCAATACAATTCCCGACACTGTTCTAAATTTCTGATTACGATATGATTCCCAATTCCAATACCCCAATGATTAAAATTCATTGTTTTCAGGCCCTACAGTTGGTTTGTGAAACTTAATGAACAAGTAGAAGAATGAATACAAGAACTTATTAAATAAAGTTAGATATCCTTTTTATTTAAAAAATTGGGTAAGCGTTTAAACAATAGAGAGAACAATTTCTTTATGTAAATGACTTAAGTAACTAGCTACAGTTGATATAATGCTTTGCTTATCATGAGAAATCTTAAAAACCTTCCAAACTATACTTTTCTGCTTGGCATTGGATACACTTGCCAGAATTGGAATCTGAAAATAATAAACATCTGTTAAAATTTAAATATTTCCCAGTTAGATAAAAAAAATGTTTCTAGTTTTCTAATGTGTAAAGATTCAACTAATGACTGTTTGCTATTAATTGTAAAATAAAAAAGGTCTATTTTTTGTACAAGCAAAGGCACCTGCTAAATATTATGCAAACTCCTTAAAATTTTATATGAGACATTTTTCAATGAATGGAACAAATTTGGGGGTGACAATTCCAGCATGCTCTTCAAAAATAAGAAACTCTAATATATATATATATATATTGCAACAATAATACTATAAGCAAAAAGAGATCATCCTATGTATTTTGGATTTTGCATATATTTTGATAAAGTACAAGGTGTACCTAATCTTGCAGGACAATGAATAAAAAAGCCAGTACAAATTTTAAATTTGCTTACAGACATTTAAGAATTAATTATCACAGTAACTTAATAAATAATAAAGAGTCTTCAATCTTAACTAAAAAAAATTTAATCACTAATAAGTTTTACTGTCTAAAATAAATTTGTCACAACTAAAAAATGTAATAATTTCTAAAAAGAATCAAAAAGCATTTTGTTTTTGTTAAAAGAAAAAGAGAAAGTCTAACAACAGTAAAAACATATCCTTTCTTTTTTTCATTTTAGAGATATAAGCAATGTTAGCAAACTTTACAATAAATTTTAAAAAATATTAGGAAGTTGAAAGCTAAATAATGCTGATATCCAACTTAATCATTTTATAAGGAATGAGATTCACTTGTTAAAATAAAAATAAAATTAAAAATGATTTAAATCTTCATAATGATGAGAACAACTGTAAATGTGTATTCTTTTTTTTTTTACATGGGATTAATTTTTTTTCTGTTATTTATTAGATTATTACAGGTTTTATTTTAAAAATATTAAAACAAATCATGTTAAAAGTGGAAAAAACTATAACTTAATCATGCCAGATAAAAATGGGATAAAAATACTCGGTTTTAACTTTTTTATACACTTGTACTTACAAAAATTGCATCTCATTTGGCTCCAAAGAGGAATAAATGAGAAAAAAAAAAGTTCAAAATATCTAAATGTTATGATTTAACATAGGAAAGTTCAAATATACCAAAGAAAAATGTTAGTAAAATAAAAATAAATACAATTTTTGATGGAAAATAAATTTTAAGTTTTTTTTAATACAAACTTTTGTGAAAAAGCTATTTTAAAACTTCAAACAAAAATTTGTTTCTTTTTAAGTAAATAAAGATGAAAATCTGTTTCAAAAGCTATAAAATTTTAAGAAATACATAAATTTCATAGTAACAAAATTAAGATTCATAAAAAGAATGTTTACTTTTTTAAGTCTTGGTTATTGAAAAGAAAATTTACTTTTGTTTACATAGTATGCTACATAAACAAAAATAGCTTTTCAATAACCAAGATTAAAAGATGATTTTATAGGTAAAAACTATTATAAAAACAAATTGTTGTAATGTAACTGCCTCACCATGTGGACAATATGACACAAGGTCAATATTTTATGTGAAGAAATCAAATGTGACATTGGTGGGAATTCCATACATTCATTTTTTTTTCTTTTTTATAAATTAAAATAAAAAATAATAAAAACTGTCTTAAAAGCGAGACCAGCAAAACAATATGAATTCATTTTGTGCTTATATTACATAATTTTGATTATAATTATTAAATTAATAATTTGTAATATTAAATTGGTGAATTAACAATGTTTAAAATAAAATTAAAAATAAAAATTGAAACAGACTTTAAACTAGTGAACTTTATGGAAAGTTCGAAAACTGAGTAGAAACTTGCACATTTTTTTTTACAAAAGAAAAATTAATTTACATCATACTTATTATGACCTATAGATTTTAGTTTTACTGATAATTAAAAAACAATAAATATTATATATTTTTATTATTAGTACCAAGAATGGAAAATTAAGTATTCAACAACAAAAAAAAAATAAAAAAATTTGAAGAATCATTTTTGGAATTGGAAGTTAAAAAGTTCTAATATTTTCATTACAATTAATTGTTCCATCACTGATATATATATATATATATATATATATATATTTTCCAAGCATGTTCAAGAATGATCTGTAC